AAATAACTAACTGTATGGCCATGAAAAGAATACTCAAGAGTTTCTGAATTCTGGGATCATAATTCTTAGACATAAAATAAGCAGGTGAGCTAGAAGGTAGCACAATGACCATTTTGGAACTTAAGGATCCTATTTCTTTAGCTACACCTTGGGTCTCTGGGAACCAAATTAATACCTAAGAGGGATGTGATAGTAGGTGGGGGGATGTGGGGTGTTTTACGGTGTACCTTATTGCACAGAAATTTTCTTGAAGTTGGCAGGTGACCTAGTGTCAGTCTAACCTCTTCCGTGACCAACTTACCAAATATGGGAGTCTTAGAATTAAGTGGTGAGCATTCAAAAAGCTTTTAAGTGCTTAACTCATGCCTACCAACTTTGTGGCTTTTGGCTTCTGAGATTGTCTTTAGCAGTGGCCTTTACCTACACAAAACAATACAAACAAGAACATTAACATAACGAACTAACCAAAGAGATATTTTTTTTTCATTTTTTTATTATTATGTTAATCACCATACACTACATCATTAGTTTTTGATGTAGTGTTCCAGGATTCATTGTTTGTGCATATAACCCAGTGCTCCACGCAGAATGTGCCCTCTTTAATACCCATCACCAGGTTAACCCATCCCCCCACCCCCCTCCCCTCTAGAACCCTCAGTTTGTTTTTCAGAGTCCATCGTCTCTCATGGTTCATCTCCCCCTCCAACTTACTCCCCTTCATTCTTCCCCTCCTGCTATCTTCTTCTTCTTCTTTTTCTTTAACATATATTGCATTATTTGTTTCAGAAGTACAGATCTGTGATTCAACAGTCTTGCACAATTCACAGCGCTCACCATAGCACATACCCCCCCAATGTATATCACCCAGCCACCCCATCCCTCCCACCCCCCACCACTCCAGCACCCTCAGTTTGTTTCCTGAGATTAAGAATTCCTCATATCCATGAAGTCATATGATACATGTCTTTCTCTGATTGACTTATTTCACTCAGCATAACACCCTCCATATCCATCCATGTCGTTGCAAATGGCAAGATCTCATTCCTTTTGATGGCTGCATAATATTCCATTGTGTATATATACCACTTCTTCTTTATCCATTCATCTGTCGATGGACATCTTGGCTCTTTCCACAGTTTGGCTATTGTAGACATTGCTGCTATAAACATTAGGGTGCACGTACCCCTTCGGATCCCTACATTTGTATCTTTGGGGTAAATACCCAGTAGTGCAATTACTGGATTGTATGGTAGCTCTATTTTCAACTGTTTGAGGAACCTCCATACTGTTTTCCAGAGGGGTTGCACCAGCTTGCATTCCCACCAACAGTGCAGGAGGGTTCCCCTTTCTCCGCATCCCCGCCAACATCTGTCGTTTCCTGATTTGTTAATTTTAGCCATTCTGACGGGTGTGAGGTGGTATCTCATTGAGGTTTTGATTTGGATTTCCCTGATGCCGAGCGATGTTGAGCACTTTTTCATGTGTCTGTTGGCCATTTGGATGTCTTCTTTGGAAAAATGTCTGTTCATGTCTTCTGCCCATTTCTTGATTGGATTATTTGTTCTTTGGGTGTTGAGTTTGATACGTTCTTTATAGATTTTGGATACTAGCCCTTTAGCTGATATGTCATTTGCAAATATTTTCTCCCATTCTGTCGGTTGTCTTTTGGTATTGTGGACTGTTTCTTTTGCTGTGCAAAAGCTTTTTATCTTGATGAAATCCCAATAGTTCATTTTTGCCGTGGCTTCCCTTGCCTTTGGGGATGTTTCTAGGAAGAAGTTGCTGCGGCTGAGGTCAAAGAGGTTGCTGCTTATGTTCTCCTTTAGGATTTTGATGGCCTCCTGTCTCACCTTTAGGTCTTTCAACCATTTGGAGTCTATTTTTGTGTGTGGTATAAGGAAATGGTCCAGTTTCATTCTTCTGCATGTGGCTGTCCAATTTTCCCAACACCATTTGTTGAAGAGACTGTCTTTTTTCCACTGGACATTCTTTCCTGCTTTGTCAAAGATGAGTTGACCATAGAGTTGAGGGTCCATTTCTGGGCTCTCTATTCTGCTCCATTGATCTATGTGTCTGTTTTTGCGCCAGTACCATACTGTCTTGATGATGACAGCTTTGTAATAGAGCTGGAAGTCCAGAATTGTGATGCTGCCAGCTTTGCTTTTCTTTTTCAAGATTCCTCTGGCTATTCGGGGTCTCTTCTGGTTCCATACAAATTTTAGGATTATTTGTTCCATTTCTTTGAAAAAAGTGGATGGTATTTTGATGGGGATTGCACTGAATATGTAGATTGCTCTAGGTAGCATTGACATCTTCACAAAGTTTGTTCTTCCAGTCCATGAGCATGGAACGTTTTTCCATTTCTTTGTGTCTTCTTCAATTTCTTTCATGAGTATTTTACAGTTTTCTGAGTACAGATCCTTTGCCTCTTTGGTTAAATTTATTTCTAGGTATCTTATGGTTTTGGGTGCAATTGTAAATGGGATTGACTCCTTGATTTGTCTCTCTTCTGTCTTGTTGTTGGTGTATAGGAATGCCACTGATTTCTGTGCATTGATTTTATAGCCTGCTACTTTACTGAATTCCTGTATGAGTTCTAGCAGTTTTGGGGTGGAGTCTTTTGGGTTTTCCACATACAGTATCATATCATCTGCAAAGAGTGAGAGTTTGACTTCCTCTTTGCTGATTTGGATGCCTTTGATTTCTTTTTGTTGTCTGATTGCTGTGGCTAGGACTTCTAATACTATGTTGAATAGCAGTGGTGAGAGTGGATATCCCTGCCACGTTCCTGACCTTAGGGGAAAAGCTCTCAGTTTTTCCCCATTGAGAATGATATTCGCTGTGAGTTTTTCATAGATGGCTTTTATGATATTGAGGTATGTGCCCTCTATCCCTATACTCTGAAGAGTTTTGATCAAGAAGGGATGCTGTACTTTGTCAAATGCTTTTTCTGCATCTATTGAGAGTACAGTATGGTTCTTGTTCTTTCTTTTGTTAATGTGTTGTATCACGTTGATTGATCTGTGGATGTTGAACCAACCTTGCAGCCCAGGGATAAATCCCACTTGGTCATGGTGAATAATCCTTTTAATGTACTGTTGGATCCTATTGGCTAGTATTTTGGTGAGAATTTTTGCATCCATGTTCATCAAGGATATTGGTCTGTAATTCTCCTTTTTTGATGGGGTCTTTGTCTGTTTTTGGGATCAAGGTAATGGTGGCCTCATAAAATGAGTTTGGAAGTTTTCCTTCCATTTCTATTTTTTGGAACAGTTTCAGGAGAATAGGTATTAATTCTTCTTTAAATGTTTGGTAGAATTCCCCTGGGAAGCCATCTGGCCCTGGGCTTTTGTTTGTTGGGAGATTTTTGATGACTGCTTCAATTTCCTTAGTGGTTATAGGTTTGTTCAGGTTTTCTATTTCTTCCTGGTTCAATTTTGGTAGTTGATACATCTCTAGGAATGCACCCATTTCTTCCAGGTTATCTAATTTGCTGGCATAGAGTTGCTCATAATATGTTCCTAGAATTGTTTTTATTTCTTTGGTGTTGGTTGTGATCTCTCCTCTTTCATTCATGATTTTGTTGATTTGGGTCATTTCTGTTTTCTTTTTGATAAGTCTGGCCAGGGGTTTATCAATCTCGTTAATTCTCTCAAAGAACCAGCTCCTAGTTTCGTTGATCTGTTCTACTGTTCTTTTGGTTTCTAGTTCATTGATTTCTGCTCCGATCTTTATGATTTCTCTTCTCCTGCTGGGTTTAGGCTTGATTTGCTGTTTTTTCTCCAGCTCCTTTAGGTGTAGGGTTAGGTTGTGTATTTGAGACCTTTCTTGTTTCTTGAGAAAGGCTTGTATTGCTATATACTTTCCTCTCAGGACTGCCTTTGCTGCATCCCAAAGATTTTGAACAGTTGTGTCTTCATTTTATTGGTTTCCATGAATTTTTAAAATTCTTCTTTAATTTCCTGGTTGACCCATTCATTCTTTAGTAGGATGCTCTTTAGCCTCCATGTATTTGAGTTCTTTCCGACTTTCCTCTTGTGACTGAGTTCTAGTTTCAAAGCATTGTGGTCTGAAAATATGCAGGGAATGATCCCAATCTTTTGGTACCAGTTGAGACCTGATTTGTGACCTAGGATGTGATCTCTTCTGGAGAATGTTCCATGGGCACTAGAGAAGAATGTGTATTCCGTTGCTTTGGGATGGAATGTTTGAATATGTCTGTGAAGTCCATTTGGTCCAGTGTTTCATTTAAAGTCTTTATTTCCTTGTTGATTTTTTGCTTAGATGATCTGTCCATTTCAGTGAGGGGGATGTTAAAGTCCCCCACTATTATTGTATTATTGTCAATGTGTTTCTTTGCTTTTGTTAATAATTGCCTTATCTAATTGGCTGCTCCCATGTTAGGGGCACAGATATTTACAATTGTTAGATCTTCTTGTTGGATAGACCCTTTAAGTAGGATATAGTGTCCTTCTTCATCTCCAAAGAGATAGTATTGTGGACCGGCCAATAAAAGGCCTTGTATGTACCACCAGCAATTCCCAACATGGAACTGGGGACTGGGGAAAGGACTGAACCTGCATACCCCAACAAATGGGAACTGTGTACTGGGATTCCGATCAAATGAGGAACTGTGAACAAATAGGGTTAAAGACTTGGGTTCTAGACAGAGCATTCTGCCATCTCAAACTGACTTGCCAAGCCCTGGACTGGGAATTGTGGACTGAACCGAGAGCTAAGAACTGGCATTCTTTTAGAGCCTTTTGTCTGTCTAAACTGACCTGTTGACCTGGAACAGAAAGACAATTAGATAAGAAGCTCAATACAAAGATAGCAGAACTCACTGGGGTGGCTGGGTGGCTCAGGCCTGAGTCGTGCTCCTCACTAAGTGGGGAGGCTGCTTATCCCTCTCTCTCCCCCACTGCCCCTGCTCCCCACAACAACAGCTCATGCTCTTTCTCAAATAAATAAATAAAATTAAAAACAAACAAACAAAGATGACAGGGATCAGAATGCAGAGGAATTTATCCACGGCCTTCAGAAATGGTAAGAAAGAACTGTGTTTCTTGTTATCCCAGAATCCATCAGGAATTTCCTTTGGATCCCACTGCTGCCAACAAATCTGTTAAAAAACAAATTCAACTGAGTACATTTTAAAGACTTTACTGGCTTTCTTCAACAATTCATGAATTGGTCAGCATCCCATCTAGATCTGAGAAGATATGTAAAATGAAAGACTTTTACAGGCAGAAGGGAAAGGGATAAGGAAGTTATACTAGTAAAGAAGCAGATTGGTTGTGGCAAGGTCATCTTCCTTCAGGGGATGGCAGGGGTCTATCAGGCCTGTTACCTCATAGTGACCAGGTGGTTTCAGATGACTAATTTAACATTCCATTCCTGGGAAATGCTAAAAGTATAATTAAATTGGGTATTAAGTCTCAGTTTGGTGACATGAGACTTAGCATAAATGACTCCATTTTGGGCCTGCTGTCCCTTTTTATTTTTATTTTTATTATTTATTTATTTGAAGATTTTACTTATTTATTTGACAGAGAGAGCGAGAGAGCACAAGCAGGGGGAACAGTAGAAGGAGAGGGAGAAGCAGGCTTCCCGCTGAGCAAGGAGCCCGATGCGGGGCTCGATCCCAGGACCCTGGGATCATGACCTGAGCCGAAGGCAGACGCTTAACCATCTGAGCCACCTAGGCACCCCCTGCTGTCCCTTTTTAACAGAGGTTTGAAAGTTATTCAATTTGGGGACCTTCTAAGAAAAAGAACATGAAATTGTAAATATTAAATTAGAGACAAATTGGCTATTAGAATAGAATAAGAAGTCACAACAAATTACAAATTTGGGTGACAAAATTTGAGATCACAAAATCTGGAAAAATAAGTGTTTTAATAATTAATGCATCCTAAGGTGTTTTGTTTCTATATTTTTGGGCATCAGATTTTTTTAATCACCACTTCATATTCTCTAGAGATTATAAAAAAATAATCCAGATCTCCTTTAATATGGTTAATTTATATTTGTTTTTTATTTGAGTATAGAAAAGTTCCATGGACTAGCTTCTGGCTCTCTTTCTCCACTCACATACTTCAGGTGCTGGGCACCAGGAGATGCATTTATATGAAGATTTCAGGCCTTGTGATTTAGAATAGTAGGGAGTGGAAATATTCTTGGATGTCCTTTCTCTACTAGGGCAGCCAGCAATAACTTAACCATACACAGATAGGACTACAAGCCACATTTGTGTACCTCACTAAATCCAAATGAAATCTAAATGTATCCCCATCTCAACTTCTTTTAGGCCAGATCCAAAATTTTGCCCTTGGGTGCCCCAATGCTGCTTGATAAGAGAAGTGTGAAGAAGGAAAAGTCAGTAAAAAGAGTAACTCTAAAATCAATTGCAGTAAAAATATGCTTTGCAAATTTTACCAAACCATAAGACCATGAGAACATTGTTAGAGTCTCTTTAAGGGCCTTGAAAGGGGGCCTCTGTAAATGAAGGGCCCTGAAATTTAAGTTTCTTTGGTTTCCAAGAGAATCCAGTTCCGGAGGAATGGTATAACACAAAAAATGGTATTCATACCATACATAATACACAAGAGTCCATGCCATAGGGTGGCTTTAAAAGTAATGTTGTATGTGGTCCTATTCTGAGCAGCTTGAGCTCCCAACTCCATCGAATGAGACAGAGGATGTTCTTGGATGGAGGATGTTCTTTCAGTGTATTTTGCTCTACAGTAAGTAGCACTATGAAGATGGAGATGTTCTGATACTATTAAATCTCAAAGGTCTCCCACCCATACGCCCATTTATATTTGCAAAGGACTTGTTATTTGTAACGGAATAATTTGCAAATGCAACAGACCTCAAAACTCCTATATTGGTGTAATTAATATTAAACACACCATTTACTATCCTTCCAAGCAGGGCAGTTAACACACATAGAGAAAAAGCATGTTATTGCTGTTAAAGACTACATCGTAGAAAGATTATAGCACTAAAGAAAGTCTTTAAGAATTCATTGAGATCTAATTAAGCCATTGCAAACTCATCTGTTATCTGCAATTATAACATAGTTACTGTAACTTGTCTCTGGATAAAATCACTTTTACGTTGGATATCTTTGCTGTATTTTGCTCCTTGGTGATGTATTCAAATGCCCAGTTTTCTCATGTATATCCTCTTTTTTTTTAAGATATATTTATTTATTTGAGAGAGAGAGAGTGTGTGAGCAGCGGGAGGGGCAGAGGGAGAAAGAGAATCTCAAGCAGACTCCACACTCAGTATGGAGCCCAACACGGGGCTCGATCTCACAACCCTGAGATCATGACATGAGCCGAAATCAAGAGTTGGTCACTTAACGGAGGACTGCCCCACCCAGGTGACCTTATCCTCTTAGTAGAAACTCTTTTTTTAAAGATTTTATTTATTTATCTGACAGAGAGAGACACAGCGGGAGAGGGAACAGAAGCAGGGGGAGTGGAAGAGGGAGAAGCAGGCTTCCCGCGAGCAGGGAGCCCGATGCGGGGCTTGATCCCAGGACCCTGGGATCATGACCCAAGCCAAAGGCAGATGCTTAACGACTGAGCCACCCAGGCACCCCTTAGTAGAAATTCTTGATTCGTTTTACTCTTCTTTTGTTCTGCAAATAACTGCCCTTAATGTAAGCAGTCCTTATAATTGTGTCCTATACCATAAACCCTATAATATTTACCACTATACTAGGCTATGGCCTGTAAGTACATCTCAAAATAAATAAAGCACATCACAGAAGTATTTTGGTCTCATGAGTGCATAGTTTGTAATCAAACTGTTTACACCAATTGAGTAGTGTAAAACCCTATTTCATTAGTCTTAAAAACGATCCTTTTGCTCTAACCCCAACATATAATTTCTGTGTAATGTACTTTAGAAAAAATTTTATAGTCTCTGAAATGTTATACAGCTTTATTTTTAATGTTTTGTTTTTAAAGGCTGAAACTATTTCTCTAAGGAATACACTGTTTCAATAGAAAGGCATTTTCTACTTACGAAGTTTTCCCCACTTCTTTCCTCTAACCAGGCTGCTTAAGGTTGATACATCTGGTCAAAGACACATTGTTCCAAAGGTCCTGACCTGAAATAAGAAAACAAGGACTGATTTATAGCTGGAAACACAACTATAACTCCATTGCCTGTGCATTGACTCTCTAATTTTTGTTTTCCTCCCTACCAAACTGTGGCTGTGCTGATATGATGCTCACAGTTATTTAAGAGGGGAAAAATGTAATCTCTTTATACTTGTATAGTCCTTTCCCGGGGTCATTCAGAATAACTCATTTTAGGCCAACAGGTATCTACTCAAAGAAGGTCAGAGTCCTATAACTTTAAGGCAATTCTTTTAAGAATTTAATTCATTTTTTGGGAAATGCTGGAGAAGGTTTAAAATAATGATACATACTCTCACGCTATTTTTCAGACTTGAGGACTATTGGCATGATCAAAATACTTTTAGATGAAAGTTTTAAGTTTCCTGTAAATCAGTGCTCAAATTTTAGCACTGGAATCACCTGAAGGACTAGTTAAATAATAGGATGCAGGGCCCTACCCCTAGAGCTGCTAATTCAGTAGGTCTGAGGTGGCACCTCAGAACTTGCACTTCTAAAAAATTCCCTGGGGTGGTAGGGACCACAGTTTGAGAACCACTGATGCAAACCGATATAGCTCATTTGGTGATGCATATTTTCAAAAATCAAAGCTGACAGGGTTTACACCTTCTCAAGCACGTATGCCATTTGGAAGATGGAGAGTCACTGCCAAAGCCGGGGGATAGTGATGATGATTTAAAGCTTCATAGATTCCTAACTGGCCATTTTCAACCATAGCTGCCCTATGCCTAGTAGCATTATATAATCCTTAGTAATGCAAGAAGTCATTGAACAGTGTCTTGCCATAAGTGTTGAGCGAGACGGTCAAGAAAGAATTCTTGAGATGTTTTATGGTACAACTTGGTAAGTTTATTTAAGTAGCACAGGGACCGGACCTATGGGCTGAAAGAGCTGTAGTTTTGCTGTATGAAGCTGGTGGTTATATGCCTAGTGCTCAAGGGGGAGGTGTAGGGAGTATTAGATCATGAACGTTTTCTTTGAATTTCTACTTGTAGAACTGCCTTCTCAATATTTCTCTGGTGCTTATCATTCAGCTTGGTATTAACTATCAGTAAAATGCACAGGCGGTCATGAGACCCTTTATATATGTAGCAACCAGTATGTATTTGATCCTTATCAAAATCATGCAGGCTATCAGTGAGATACCACCTCACACCAGTCAGAATGGCTAAAATTAACAAGTCAGGAAATGACAGATGTTGGCGGGGATGCAGAGAAAGGGGAACCCTCCTGCACTGTTGGTGGGAATGCAAGCTGGTGTAACCACTCTGGAAAACAGTATGGAGGTTCCTCAAAAAGTTGAAAATAGAGCTACCATATGATCCAGCAATTGCACTACTGGGTATTTACCCCAAAGATACTAATGTAGGGATCCAAAGAGGTACGTGCACCCCGATGTTTATAGTAGCAATGTCTACAATAGCCAAACTGTGGAAAGAGCCAAGATGTCCAATGACAGATGAATGGATAAAGAAGATGTGGTATACATACAATGGAATATTATGCAGCCATTACAAGGAATGAGATCTTGCCATTTGCAATGACGTGGATGGAACTGGAGGGTGTTACGCTGAGCGAAATAAGTCAATCAGAGAAAGACATGTATCATATGACCTCACTGATATGAGGAATTCTTAATCTCAGGAAACAAACTGAGGGTTGCTGGAGTGGGGGTGGGGTGGGATTGATGGGGTGGCTGGGTGATAGACATTGGGGAGGGTATGTGCTATGGTGAGTGCTGTGAATTGTGCAAGACTGTTGAATCACAGATCTATACTTCTGAAATAAATAATGCAATATATGTTAAGGAAAGAAAAAAGAAGATAGCAGGAGGGGAAGAATGAAGGGGGGTAAGTTGGAGGGGGAGACGAACCATGAGAGACGATGGACTCTGAGAAACAAACTGAGGGTTCTAGAGGAGAGGGGGGTGGGGGATGGGTTAACCTGGTGATGGGTATTAAAGAGGGCACATTCTGCGTGGAGCACTGGGTGTTATGCACAAACAATGAATCATGGAACACTACATCACAAACTAATGATGTAATGTATGGGGATTAACATAACAATAAAACTTAAAGGAAAAAAATTATGCAGGCTATAGGTCAGCCTTCTGGGCTAAAGGTGAACATTTTCCTGCTTTTATCCCTCATCATAAGAGTAATCTAAAATATGTTTTTATCTTTTTACATCCTTCTTTTGTAGCTGTTTACTGATTGAAGTGATGTGGCAACTGAGGATTATAATTGTTGATTTAAATAACGTAATATAAAAAAGGTGTAATTGTTGTATGTCCTCCATATGAAGTCTTTTTTTTAAGATTTTATTTTTTGCCAGAGAGAGAGAGAGCGAGTGTGCACAAGCAGGGGGAGCGGCAGGCAGAGGGAGAAGCAGGCTCCCTGCTGTGGGGCTCAATCCCAAAACCCTGGGATCATGAAGGCAGACGCTTAACAAACTGAACCACCTAGGCATCCCCTAAAACTATTATGAAGTCTCAACATTAAGAACAAAATCATTCAATTTTACCTTACCCCTATTCTGGTTGATATATAAATATAATTATAAGATCAGAAGAAAGAAAAATTTACTACTTGGAATAAGATGAGTATTCCTATACTGTTCAGTGGCTTTTAGATCCTTACGACTTGTGTTTAATATGTATTTTGTTGATTTTTCAATAAAGCATGTTAATGAACTTGTCTCAATTATCTATTGAATAATCTCTCTAAAATGCCTGTCTGTAATTATTTACTGTTAGGATTACACTTCCATTTTAGCAGTAATTTCAACTCTGAGAAGATAAACCCAAGGGATTCTAGAATAGCTTCTGCTTGGAGCATGATTTCCCCAGTGTCCAAAGGTTAAATAAGAACAAGTGAATAGATGTGGACAATGACCAAGGATGTCGTAAAATCAAGTCCTTATTAATTAATACCATTCTTAAATGTCATCAAATGAGCTATGGGGCAGATAGCCTAAGCTCAGGAATTAATGGCCATCAAGGTTTCAGGGTGCCCCATTGAGTTGAAAGATGCAACAAAACAAAATGATAAATTGTAAAAGGTAATTCAATAAGCAGGGCAGCTTCTCACATATTCTTTAGTAGGTCACTGAGGTAGCTTTAAGGAAAATAGGAGCCAAGATGGATGTTGGACTCCTGGCTTTGACGTTGAATAGGGAGAAATTATTATTTTTTTTAAAGATTTTATTTATTTATTTGACATGGGGGGGTGGAGCACAAACAGAGGGAGCAGCAGCGGGAGGGAGAGGGAGAAGTAGGCTTCCTGCTGAGCAAGGAGCCCAATGTGGGGCTCGATCCCAGGACCCTGGGATCATGACCTCAGCCGAAGGCAGACATTTAACCGACTGAGCCATCCAGGCTCCCAATTTTGAGAAATTCTTGTTCAAAGAGCTTTACCTGTGTTGAGTCATAGCCTTGTTAGCTATAAAAAGCAATTAACAAGATCTAGTCTGCTTACCTTACAGGGCTGTGAGGATTAAATTTAATTATGTACATGGAAATGTCAACTGAAAAGCCCTAAACAAATGTGTTTTGTTAGCTGTTCAGTGAAAATTGATCCTCATTTCCCTAAAAATAATACAAATTCTTTAATCAGGTATGCAATCTTTACCTTTCCAAGTGCTTTTCAGGGTTAAAATGAGCAATTTAATAATTTAAACTAGGGAAGAATATGTTTAGTTTTTTTTCTTAATGTCATAGCTTTTTAACTGCTCTAAGTCAGAAAATAGAAACAAGTTGATGTGCAAACCTCAAAATAATAAATATTTTTATCAAGTTTGTTGGAAAAAAATGACTATGGCAAACTCAATTTTATTTTAGCAATTTCACAGTAGAATCTATCACTAAGTAGTCATTAGCTGAGTAAACAAGAAAAAATAATTAAAGAAGAAAGTCTGGTCTAGGGCACACAACTATATAAGAAAATAAAAATTCTGAAATCTAACTAGTTTTCAAGAATAACATGCAGAATAGCGTAATTTAAAAATACTCCTGATTAGTAATAAGTAAACTTTGTCAAAGGAGTTTCTGAAATTAATAGCCATTTTTAAACTTTATATACTAATATGGAAATCACCTAATTTAAAAAACAGACAATACCCCCTTGTTCAGTTTTTTTTTTACTTACATCTTATTCTGTAACTTCCCATTGATTAACATTGCCTTTACTATTTAAAGTACTTTAACATTTTATCATTTGCATATGTCATAGTATTTTGAATTCTTTTAACTTGTATCAGAGCAGCCAACCAAATAATATTTTATCTAAAGCAAACTGACTTTTTCTCATTTAAGACTCTATCAATTAGGATGCTTCCAGCTGCAAGAAACAGAAAATATAATTTGTTTATTATCTCATATTAAAGGACATTCTGTGGTAGGACAGTCTCCAGGATTGGCTCATTTGTTAGGTTAATTATGCATTAAAGGACTTGGCTTCCTCTGATCACTGCTTTGCCATCCTTGGTGTTGGCTTTTTGGAGGAAGAGGGGTAGGTGGGGTAATGAGGTGGCCGCAGCACTTCTAAACATTCAAAATTACGGGGAAGGCTTGTTAAATCACAGATTGTGGAGTCCAACCACCCAGAATTTCTGACTCAGTAGGTCTGAGTGGGATCTGATAATCTGCATTGCTAATGAGTTCCCAAGTGATGCTGATGCTGCTGGTAGTTGGGGCCACACTTTGAGAAACACTAATTTTGACTAATGATCCTGGAGAGGAATGGATGTTTGAGGATCACTGGTAACATTCATTACAAGATGTACTTTATCATTTGGAATGTAACAGAGAGTTCCTTTTGCTCTCCTCATAGGGCCTGATGCCATTTTTAGTCTGTCAGCTTCCTGTTCAATATTCTAGAGAGGGACGCGGCTCATTTTGAATAACAGTATTCCTATGGTTGAGGTAGCAGTTTCTTAGAAAATAGTTTTGCATTCAACTGTTTGAACTAGG